CCTAAAGTCCGAAGCGAACTCCAATACGTGAGACAAAGTACCGCAAGGAGGATGGTAAATAAACTTCAAAATGTCTTTTCCGTAACCGACACCCCATTGGGACAGGTGAGTTTACACGGTTAGGGTGAAACCCTGCGCACGAAGGCAACGATGGTGCCTTTAAATGCATTGAGATGCGGTCTACACAGCCGCGGCCTCAGCTCCTCGAACGATTTGTAGACAATGCAAAAGCTTTAGACATTTCCAGATCTGTTAGAGTTGGTCCCTGCTCACTACCGTGTTCCAACTATAAGAGCGCTCGCATATTCAACCCGTACGTTTTCTGCGAACGAAAATCATATGCTCATTAAAAGCAGAAACGTATCACTTATATATTCCTATCTTGCTCCCTCGCTCTTCTTCCGGTTCATAAACAAATCATTTCATTACCATACTGACTCTATCAAATTGGAATACAGAGTCACTGACCTGTTGCGAGGCTGGCTTTGGCCCGCTCAAGTTCCCTTTGCGCTCACTTAGGACGGGATGATGGTGGCAGCGCCAAACGATAACAACTAATTCCTACCGCCGAAAGCAAATGGGTCACTTCTCTGAACTAGACTGGTTATGGAAGTGTAGTGTAGCCCTCCGAGAAACAAGAAGACTGGTCCGCGGTCACGAAGTCCTTTATTAAGATTACGCTCACATATTTACAGCGTACATCCACTATTTACAACAGTCCACTTGTTATTTGCATTCTGTCGCTGGCTCCCTTTCCGTCGGTGTACGCTTACTCACCACGTTCGTTCTGTATAAAATTACCTTGACTTTCTTGGTGGATCGTACGATTGGCTCGACTGGACACTCGTCCATCAGTCCGCGCGCTTCATCCCGCGGTCCAATATCACAAACTTTGGCTCAAGTGCGCACCAATAAGCTCCTCATGAGTATGCGCTTCATGGTCTGTGCTTTTGGAACCTGCTGACGCCTGATTGGTCATTTGCGTATTCAGTGGATGATGGCTGGCTGTGCTTGCAGAGCTCGAAGCGGATGTGCGCCAACCATGTGCCGCTTATGTGACTAATCTGCTTCCGAGGACATGCTCACTCTCTAACGGGCCCGACTATACCTGTCTGAACATCTGCTTATCGATACCAAAGCATTTCCAGTCACCAGCATTTCCAGCCCCATCATATCCTTTCCTTCTTCGTTTTTTACAATGACGTTACAATGTGTTCCTTAATGTCTTCCACTTCGTGTGCTTTTAACGTCTTGGGCTTAGATAACAGTACTGCTCTGCGGTTGTTGTTGCTGATCCTCTCTTTGCGATGCCCACTCATGACGCGCTTTTCGCAGTTGCACCCGATTCCTTCGAATGCTATTGCTCCTAACCTTGACTTCATAGCTCCTCTCTCCCTTCCGGCCTTCGATCACTCCTTTCCGCCAGCATCCACCAGATTCCGGTAATGGCTGCACCCATACTTCTTCTCCTGTACCTAGTGGTGGGAGGCTTTTCGATCCGCGATCATAGTACTTTTTGCCTTAGCATTCTGTTCCTTAATCGGTCGTGTAAGACATCGGACGGCGCTATCTCGGGCTGCAGTAGAGTTGTAGCGGTCGGTATTAGCGTTCTTGTTCGGCAACTGAATAGACGCTGTGCAGGACTCGCTCGGATATCATTATTCTGTGTGTTCCTTCGATCCAGTAGTATTATTTAGGGAGTTTCCTGGGTCTCCTTGGCTTTTTGTAAGCATTTTCTTCGCCTCCTACACTGCGGACTCAGCCATACCGGTTGGTTGGCTATAGTATGGGCTGGTTAACCGGTGACAAAAATCCCGCTTCTTGCTGAATGCACGAAACTCTGAACGCTTAAATTGCGGTCCGTTGTCGGGAATCACCACCTCGGATATTCCATGCCGAGGGAATTGGTACGGTAACTTGTTCACCACAGATCGCATACTAGTCGTCGTAAGCGCATCGATTTCGAAGTAGTCACTAAAATAATCTGCCACAATCAAACGATTCCTTCCATCGTGAGAAAAGATGTCGAGTGCAATCATCTGCCAGGGTCTGTCAGGAACGCCACGTAGCATCATCGGTTCTTTTGGCTGTCGTACATCGTGTGTGTTGCATGCCACATTATTGGATACGTAGTCACCTATTTGGCTGGTCCTTATGGGCCAGAACAACAGCTCTTTAGCTCTTGCCAAGCAGTTGTTTATTCCTAAAGGTGCACGTTTTACCATCTCCAGCATCGAACGCTGCAGTGCCTTTGCAACTACTATCCTGTTACCTTTGAATATTAATCTATCCTGAGTAATGAGTTCGTCACGAAAATAGAAGAATAGAGTCAGCTCCTTTGGTAACTTTTTCTTGTCTTCAGTCCATCCGTTTATTATCGTGTGCCTCAGTAGTCTGCACAGTTCGTCCTCCACAGTGGACTGTTGGAGCTGCTGCATGCGCTCCTCAGTGACCGCGATCAACTGTGTTGCATGGGCAAAATCTGGGTCTTCTTCCTTTCCGGGTGTGTCTGACAGGTGTGCTCTTGATAGCTTGTCCGCAATGTACATCTGGGATCCTGGCCGGTAGACAATCTCTAGGTCATACTTATGCAGACGAATAAGCATCCTTTGAAGACGGCATGGAACAACATGGAGCGACTTTCTGGCGATCGATACCAGGGGCTTGTGCTTGGTAAAGGAGGTGGATTTACGGCCAAACGTATGGTCATTGAACGCTCCACGGCGTAAAACAATGCGAGCATTTCTTGTCCTATTTTCACGTAACGATGTTCCACATCTGATAGCGTCCGGCTGCGAAAGTCGATAGGCTTACTGTTCTGCATGATTACGTCTCCGATAGCATACTGACTGCTGTCACACTGGATCTCGAGTGGGAGTGCTGGGTTATAGTAAGCGAGAACGGGGGGCCCACATGATCAATTCCTTTAGTTTCTGTATTAGTCTCTCCTGCTCCGCGTCCCAATACCATTTCTTACCTTCATGCGCCAGTTTCCGAATCGGTACCATTACACCGCCTAATCTGGGCAAGAAACAACATAGGTATTTCACCACCCCATTCAGCCTGATAACGGCTTTCACGTCAGTACTAGCAGGCATCTCTTTGATGGCCCTGATTTGCTCTGGGTCTGGCTGCAGTCCTTCGGAGCTTAGCACGCGTCCGTCCACTTCAGTCTTACGTCACGCAATCTTTCTCGTTTTAACTTGATATTCCTTTCAAAACAGCGCTGCAAAAAGCGGTCGAGATTCTGGTCGTCCGCCTCTCGCGTAGCGCCAAAAACCAAAACGTCGTCTGCTACACAGAACGTCCCTTGTAAATCGTCTAAAGCCTGTGCCAGTCGTTGTTGGAAAATCTCGCTAGATACCGTCAGTCCAGACGGCAGACGAAGCCAGCGGAAACGCCCGAAAGGTGTCCAAAACGTAATCAGGTAGCTTGACTCTTCGTCAAGTAAGACCTGCCAAAACGCCTAAGCAAGGTCGACATTTGTGGATATTCTAGCTCTGGATAGCACCAGAAGTACGTCATCTAGCGTTGGGAGCGAATAACGCTCCCTCCTGAGCGCGGCATTAAGGGGTTTTGGATCAATGCACACGCGTAGTTCTCCAGATTTCTTAGTAACATTCGCCACCTGGCTAACCCAATCTATCGGCTCCTCAACTTTGGCTATTACACCCAAACTAGTAGGACGCTGCAGCTCGTTCAAAAATTTCTCCCGTAAGGCAATAGGCACCTTTCTGGTCAGCAGCACTACCGGCTGAGCGGACTCGGTTAAAAATAAATAAGCACACTCCCGAATCTCCCAACTACCCCGTCAAACACGCTTGGATACCTGTCAACATTATCTATCACACGAATGGACAATCTTTCATGGTTAAAAGAAACAAAACCGAGACTTCGAGTAAAATCAATGAACAAAATAAGCATAAAGTCTCCTGAGACTATCAGGAAATCCAGTTGGTGTTCTGTGCGGTTTCTCGGATCGATGGACTTCAACGTGGCGGTATCTTTCGGTCGCAGCTTTGAACCGTTCCACCTTCTAAGCCCGAGCCTGTAGAAGCGTTGTGATGACGAAACTTACACTTTCGAGGGTCAGCCGCTACACGAAGCACTCTCCGTGAATGAACTAGGTCTGCTCTTATGGTGCACTTTGAAGCTCGTGAAAGACGTGAATAGGCTATAAAGTAGCGGACCACGAATTCTTTGGGTACACAAACACAACTTCTGCACTTAATTTGAAGAGGCTGCGACTCACCTCTTCACCTTCTTCATAAGCGCAACACTCGAGTACAGGTCACCCGCCTATTGTCTGATCATCCAATGTCAGACACGAGGGATCGAACGGGTACAATGTGTTCCCAATAGGTACAGTCCCACTTTACGTGGTTTATCGTCAGACGGAGGCGATAGACTAGAGCTGTACACCTTGTCTTATCGTCGGATGCTAGACGACCTCATCATGATTTGCCGTGCATTACATCGCAGTGACTTCCACATGCATTCACTCCATCTACGAATACTACGCAACACATGGGGACAACTGTATAAGCTTGTGGCATTGGATCCGAAGCGAGTTGCCCAGCCTGCGTGCTTCGATCTTGGACTGGTTAGTGTTTGGAATAGTCTACTAGAGCACACGTGGTACGCCAAATCAAAACATTTCTGGATTTACATTTAGCCACGGTGGACTTCACAGAGCACTTGTCTGCTCCCAGTGACATCACCTACTTGTGTCCCATGTTACCTTGAGTTAGACATTGTTGTGATACTACTGGAGACCTCAAGGAATAATTAACAAATTGGCAAGTGACAAATAAACTAACAAGCTTTAGGTCCTATATCCATGGAGTAGTACAAATTTAACTTCCACTTGTTCTAGTGATACAATGTTCTGATTCCAATCAAAGCACATGCCGAAGTCTAGGTTGCCGTTACAAAAAGGTGTATCCGCTACGGAGCTGGACAAGTAATGTACCACACGTTACGGTAGTTGAATCACTTACTTCGGAATTGTTAGTTGCACTTGATTCAGAGGTGCTTGACCTGGTAAGAGTACTGGCCGCTTGAATATTATCTATCTCGGACACCTCTTCGCTGATCTCCTCGCTGGTGTCTGTAAGGTGCTCATCCTCGCCAGAATCTGTGAGTTCTGGCGAACTATGTGCTTTCTCCGACAGATTGGTGCGAAATAGCCGACTTGGTGATACACCGGCGTCGAAAGACTTAAGGGGAATGCTCTGCCTCGAAATATTTTGATCGCTGGGCAACTTTGCAATCAGGGCACTTTTGATCTTCTGTATGGGCGTTGGGGGTGGTTTTCCCAAATAGACTGCCCACCAAAACCATAGAATAAAACTCATAAGGGCATGGAAAAATGCGCGTCCAAAAAAGATTACCAAAAACAGGCAGCTCAGAAAACTGATGCCGGCACATAGACCGAGCGTGCCGCCAAGATTACTGATGAAGTTAAAGAGTGTGTCCGTAATTTCCTCCTCCCACACGTCAATCCGTTCTGCAGAAATACGTACATCTACGATGATTAGATCATTTGGTTTCAAGTGTTCCATAAACACAGGTCGATCATCATCGGAGTTGTTGAACAGCCCAGACCACATCTCTCGCAAATAAGGTTGGTCCAGTTGACTAGCCGAAAGTTGCTCCATGTAGGTGTTCAGTAAGCTGGGTGTAAAGGACAAGTCCTCATCCAAATCATGAATCTCGAAAGTTCGTGTAGAGTATATGTCCTGTTGATGAAAAACATGGTGACAATTACCACTTGTTTTGGTCAGTCCTTTGGATGCAAGGTTATTGACATGAGGTTAACGCTACACCTAATCGGGCTGTCTAGTTGCATATACAGTAATTTTTCTCTTCTCCTTATAATCAGTGTCAGCGTCGTCCACAGGGAAGCGTAGTGAGCATTCTCTGGCAGCAAGTTGGTGAAATGCTGAGAGTGAACTCTATTTAGTGACCCCACACGGATTCGTGCTTGACATTTCTTACTGGGGGCTTGTGTGCACAGTTTCACTTGCATCATCCGCTATCTGTCCCTAATCAACCAGTCTTTTTGCGACTTTCGCCTCACTTGACATGAATGACGAGCACATACTTGACGATTTTACGATATGCATTATTGCTAAATACATTAAATCAAATCGATGGTGTTATGGAATTCATCCGCACGACAACTGAACTTGGCGTGCAAGTGTGGTATCGGAAACACTGAGTCATGCCAGTATGCCATATGACCACAACTTTAAATATTGTCTCAATCTAGCACGAATCATTCCTACATAGTAGTTGTACTTGACTTAAGTGTGGCCGTTCGTAGGTGCATGGCAATAAAGCGTAATTATGGTATGAAATAGTAATTTGGGTTCAGTAAGTTATAATATTCCAGTCATAATATCCAGTTACTTCAACCCACGTAGTCAAAAGAATAGTTAATAGAAAACATTGAACAAACCACAGCACGAATGGGAAGGATCAACCCATAAAGAACGGATTGAAAGCACCAAGTTTTCAGCTAGAGGAGTTAAAGGACAAAGGAAGGGCGCTTTCAATCCGAAGGCGATGAGAATCGGAAGACATAGGAGACTGGAGAAAGAAGCACACATGTGATAGACATCCGATCGACAAATGCCACTCTCCGATTGCCCGGTACGGAGTGAGAGGTGCTGTTTGAAGGCGACCGATTCTTGATCATGATCCAGCTTTCGATTCCAAGGCAGTGAGCTACATATAGGCTCGCTGGAAAGACTCAACCAGGAGTTGAACTTGTTTTGAACATCGGTAGCTCTGGATACAGACGCGGATTTTGGGCTGTTCTCTGTGCTACGCGATTCGTTTGCAAATGTTTCGTTGCCATTATTCGTAGGCCAACTCTAGATCCAAGTGCTTACCGGGCGAGTGCTAGACCTCGGACAATTCGTCTGTTTGCTGATTTTTATACTTCCCAGTACTTTGACGTTCTCCAAGTCGAGGTGGTGCCTTTTGGCATCCATCTGCACTGAGCTTAGTGATTTTTGATCTTGACAGTGAATGGCCTCGCCATAGTAATTTAGCTTTGTGCCAGGCTTTCTTTATGCTTTCCCATGTTCTATTTGTCGGTTTCGGGATCAGATTTCGTATAACACCTTAGATGTTTCTTCCTTGCTAGGTTAATAACTCACCTTGAAGAGTTTGCTCCGGAAGAGTAAACAGTTGCAGGTGAGTGAATTTATCGAAATCTGGTATTCAGAACAGATCTTGATCAATAAACACACGGATGTACAAGTGAGTTAAGAATCCATGCGAGAGAGGTCCTGTGTGTTACCCTGACTAAGTCATCTAGCCTGGTAACGAAACATCGGCAAACTTACCACTCAGATCAAATGCTAACCAACAATTGGCATTTAAACAAAAACTTTTTACTCAATGATCTGATCCACAAAGCCAGGGATAGCAGGCATAGCTGATTGTTTGCTTAGTCGATTCCTCGTGGACCCGTTCACGGAAACTGTGATGAGGGCTAAGAAGCCAGGCAAGTTGCAGCTCAGAACCGAAAGACCGCAAGCACGGCAATCGTTCTCACGCACCAGGGAGAATTGTTCTGCTCCACGGGTCGATCTCCATAGTTGTGGGACACAGTTTTGTCAAAATGGAAACGTCCCACAAGGCAACATCAAGCGCGGGTCACATCAGCAGGGGGAGTTACGACCACTATATCGTATAAAGCGCACGTAGTTATCGTGTCAAATATATACTTGGCTGCACAGCCAATGAAGTCAAATGATGTTCCATACAAACAACTAGCATCATTAATCGCTGGCTTGCCGAACAACCTCCTCATGGTGCCAACTGGGTAGTTCGGGTTTTTCCCGTTCCAGCGAATGGTTCGGCGGCAGTGTTCCATGATGTTGTGGGTTTTCGCCTGGCAAGCGTTCTCCCTATAAAAAGCCACAAATGTCAGTTTAACAACACTGCGACGTGGCGGATGTGACTCGCCACTAAATAAAGTCACTGCCCATTGCCCCTCCCTGAGGGGCTTTGTAATTTAAGGGTGCGAGCACCACCTTGGGGGTAGTTTTGGTCTCGGTGGCAGTCGATCAGACAATGGAGACAGACTGCTTGCTCTTTGCTCTGGTCATCGCTTGTTTCTTTCGAGCACTAGTTTTCGGCACTCGAGGAGACACACTGCTACCTGGCGCACGCCCTCACAAACGCAAGAGTACTCCCAGCTTGATCACATAGCAATCAGCTACAGATGGCGCGGAAGCGTAACGGACTGCCGATCGTACTGGTCAACTTTTCTAGACTCTGATCACGCATTGGTTCGTGCTAAGATTTGCATGCGTTTCGGAGGATCACCTAAGCGCGCCCACTACCGACCGGACGTCGCGAATCTACAAAACGCTGCGGTTTTAACCAGGTACCAAGCCTCACTGTCAACCTTGCTTGGCTCAACTATTGACGGTGATCTCGATTCGCAGTGGGCGCATATCAAAGATGCTTTAGTTTCCGCCAGTATCGACACTTGTGGAGTTACCCGTACCCACCGAAACATTGGATTTCCGCCGACTCCTTGTCGCTGATGGACAGACGCCACTTGATCCCATCGGATTCCAGACACAGTGAAGAACGCCAATACCTTGGTCGAGAGTTGCACAGGAGTCTGCAAATGGACCGCGAAGCTTGGTGGTGTGGACTTGCTAGGGAGATGGAGCTTGCTATTCTCTCTGGTAATACCAGAAAAGTCTTCCATCTCATTCGAGTCACCGAAGGTGTCCGAGCTGGTATAAGTGAAACAATATGCGAAGAAGATGGCACCTTAATCACCAATCTTCAACGACCGTTGGAGCGATGGGCCAACATTTTGGCTCGCAGTTTTGTTGACCCCCAGTTCCATCTGCTACCTCTGGCGCTCGCGCTGGGGCTGAGTGGTCTACCCCCACAGATCCTCCCTCTTCCCAGGAAATCGAGCAGAAGCTCCGGCACATGAAGCGTTATAAAGCCCCCGGCCCTGATGGTCTTCCTCCGGCTCTATTTAAAAATGGTGGCGCATCGCTGGTTCGAGAACTCACCGCTTTGTTCTCGAAAATTTGGTCGAAAGAGAAAGTTCCTTCATCTTGGCGTGAATCGACAGTCGCCCCCATCTTCAAAAAGGGCCGGCGCACAATCTGCTCCAACTACAGAGGAATAACTTTAGTCCCCGTCGTTTGCAAGCTGCTGGTGTCGATCATACTTCGCAGGCTATCCCCAACACGCGAATCGTTGCAACGAGAAGAACAAGCTGGGTTTCGCCCTGGTCGCGGTTGCATCGATCAAATCTTCACACTCCGGCAGATCCTCGAGCTCCGCCATGTGTGTCAGAAGCCAACGATTGCTGTGTTCCTGGATATCCATGCAGCCTCTGGTTCTGTCGATCGTACAGTACTGTGGCACTGCTTACTGAGGAATGGTGTCCCCGAGAAGTTCGTCTCCATACTGCGCGCTCTCTATTGTCTGACCTCGGGCAGTATTAGGGCTTATGGCAAGCTTGCTTCTACCTTTGTCGTCTCCGGTGTAGTTCGATAAGTATGCCGTATCTCTGCGTTTCTATTCAACTTCGACATTGAGGATGTGTTGAAGAAGGCTCTCAGCGATTCGTTGGAAGCTAGCGTTGAGCTCCTCTCAGATAGTCGAGTTGTTAATTTGGATTATGCTGATGATATCCTCTTGCTGGGTGACGATCCACACGCCGTCCAACTTGCACTAAACTGATTGGTGGTTGGAGCGTCAAAGTACGGTATGTACTTTTCGCCATCCAAATGCAAGGCTCTCTTCCAAGACTGGCAGGTGCCTCTGCCTGCACTCACGCTTGCTGGTGAGACACTAGAGGTTATGGAGAGCTTTGCTTACTTGGGAAGTTGCATCACTGCTGGCGGGGCTGTTGGAGACGAGATTTCGATGAGCATTTCGAGAGCAGGCCACGCTTTTTCTAGGCTGAGGCATTTGTGGCGTCGAAATGACATTCGTCTCTCCATCAAAGGGCGGGTCTATTGTGCAACTGTTCATGCTGTACTGTTGTACGAATGAGTGACCTGGCCCATTCGTAAAGATGACTTTCGCAGGCTATCCGTCTCCGAGCACCGCTGTCTGCGGTCTATTGCCCGTGTGTGGTGGCAGCACCGCGTAAGTAATGTGGAAGTTAGACAGCGTGTTTTGGGGCGTGGAAGCCACTAGCTCGAGGAGCTCGTCTCACTGCATCAACTGCGGTGGTTGGGACACGTATTGCGCATGCCTGTCCAGCGTTACCCCCGTCGTGCATTGTTTGCACTTGCTGGACAGGGCTGGAAGAGACGGTATGGTGGACAGCCTACAACATGGAGAAGCCGCATGAAAATGCTGACGAAACAGTTGGCCTCGGCCGGTTGTCGTCGACTACCTGGTTGGGGTCCGAGAGATGCGGATACTTGCTGGTTAAAGAACTTGGAAGCCATGGCTCAAGATCGATGTCAATGGCAGACGTATGCATCGCTTTGTTGCGGTGTCCCTTCTTCCTCCCCGTAACAAAAGAACAAACTGAAAAAGTTTCAAAAACTGTGAGTGGTAAAATGGACAAAAAAGCATTTGTTGTTGCTCTTTTCTTATTATTCATATTGTTTTCCTAATCAGCCATGATTCCGATGGCACAATATCTGCACCACAGATTGTGTATTATATATATATATATATGTGTGTGTGGGTGTGTGCGTGCGTCATTACTCTCCCACCACCTGTTGGTTGACAACCACTGTGTAGACCCCGTGGGTGCGTTCCGTTTTATCTATGCTTCAAGAAACCCCTAACTCTAAGATATGATGTGGTCGTCGCCATCAAAAAGCTTGGCCCAACAGTGCATGTGCAGAAAGACGTATTTGTGATCCTGGCTCTAGCGTGGTAGCGGGCCGAGAACAGGCGACAAGCTGACAGGTATGTATGTGTGCTCAGTTTAGTCAATTTGCCATTGTAACTGCGGTAATTCGTACGTCTGTAGTGTGTACTAGGAAGTATGCAGAAAATCTTCCGGAATTAAGTTGTGCGGCACCCCTGCGTTAACTTTTCTGTTAGAACTACGATAGCTTACCGAATTTAAGCCGATGATTGTTGGACAATTTTTCCTTTCTGTACTAGGGGGTCGGCTTATTTAAAGGCTATACGGAATTGGCAAAAAGTCACACGCTAAATCCACCGGGAATTCACTACACACCACTGCCCTTATCTCCACTTAGCACCACGCGCTAGTGAGGGACGGTATTCCAGATGGGGATTTGAAGTGCGTATAGTTGAACACGTGACTTTGTGTCTAAAATTTTCGCTATATTTCACCTTTGACGCTAGCGACGGATGCAAGTAGAGAATCAAAGACCCTTAGACATTATGTTATGCCAAACGATCCGGTGTCTTAAAAGTACGATGTTGACCCACACCCTTGATGTGAACTTCATTCTCACGCACTGCTCTACTGTGGTTCATATGCATGAGGCGCCCGAGTAAGCCTGTCTGATACATCCTCTCATCTGGAATCAGTACGCAGACCAAACCGCTTATAATGCCATAAGTTAATTGGCGGCTTAAGTTTGGTAAGCTCGTCGCTTGGTGAGGGGGCAACTCTGTCCTCTGCACTGCAGTAACGTGTAATTCAGTGGATAGTGAGCAGCGCTATATCACATCTAGTAACTTGTTCACGATGGCTGTTGCCCTCCCCCGAAGCTCAGTGGTCTTAACCACGGACTGGCAACAGTCGAGTTGCGGGTTTGAGCCCTACCAGGGTCCGATGAAATGCGCACTGCTGACGATTCCCGAAAGGATAAAACATGCGCACAGTGCTTTTCCGAGCGTGTAACGGTTGTCTGAGTGAGTCTAGATGTGACGAATTTCTACCTATACCATTCAACTCACCCTACTACTCCTCGGTTACCCTATATTGTCGGCTGAGTTACCTGTTTCATGTGACTTGACGTCTGGTCATTACACGTTCCCGTTCGGTATTCTCACGGCCCCACTCCCCAATAACCTCGATTATAATACATTACGGTCACTACAACTGGCCAATAGTAAAGCAGGTTCCACTTGAACTCAAATGAGAGCAGGTAGTGTTGATGTCAAAATCGTGGAGGAACAATTTCGTTTCTCTTGCTGATTTTTTAGGGGTCCGCTAATACAGAGACTTACGACTTTGGACAAATTTGTTGTTGCCAAGTTATACTGTCGGCTTATCTATGCATGAACTTATAATCGGTAATATACGGTATATTTTTATCGAAACCCACTTTGGGTTCTGTTTTCCAGAGAACTACGCTATAGATACTTTGGAAGCTTCTTAGACAGTTCTAGTTAAAGCTGGACCTGACCCATGTTGTTCGGGAATTGTCCGGTTTGATATGAGTGTTAGTGAACTACTGTCGGAGATATAAGGTAGCATTAATATCGTTGCTTGTGGTGGTCCGTATTATAGTAGTTTAATCGTTTCGCTTGTAATCCGTGTCTTTTGGATCGAGTCTCTTTCCCAGCACCCTGGTCGCACCTCAGTCTGCGAAAATCGGCTTTTGTGACTTGGTGGCCGGGTTTGTGAGGAAAATGGTTGTTTCCGGTAGCCATGTGCCATGTAACGTAGAAGACCTATTCTTTCACAACTTCATGTAAGGGCGAGACTAGGAATGAGCTTGTCGGATCATCAAGTATTGTGCTGTTTGATACAAGGAATTGCGGAGACGTGAGGAACGAATCAGCCAACCGATCACGAGGGTTCTATAGAACAGCATCACCACGTGTCAGCTCACGTTTGTTACGATGTGAGAAGAAGAGATGCGATCCAATTTCCTCTTACTAGTAAACCTTCATCTCGGTGGCCAAAAATTGTAGCAACAACAACAACAACCATGTGGGTAAGAATATGGAAGCTCCTGATGACTGGTCCTCCGGTTTTCTAATCTAACTGACATGCTTCGAAGCCAGCCGGTTTGTTGAGATGCCTATTCGGGCTCACTGATTCATTCTTGTTGGCACCTGTCGTCCAGTATTGATAGTGATTACGTGGGCCAGTAATAAGCTCAAATCATACCCTCTCAGTTCACGGATTCGGACTGTGTCCAAGGACTTAAGTATTAGGCAAACGACTTTCTGGCATTCTCTCCCTGAATGTCCCAGGGTCCACGGTACACAATTCCACCTACTTTCATCAAAGATTTTCAGAGTACTTCAAGCATGATAATTTACACAGTTAATTTGTCTTGATAGCATTACCTTTTCATGAGTCTCACCTTCTCGCAAAGCAATGCGCAAATGCTGTAGCGTTCCGCCTTCCGCTTGTCCAGATCCTTTTCTGTTTCGAACAACTTATTCATACCTATGAACTGATCTAAGACCGAGGTTGTTGGCATATTCTCGTACTGATCATAGCACAGAAACTCTTCCCTCAGACGTTGCGAAGTCTTTTGACGAATATCCCTGCAAAATTCTGTAGAGAACGTGTTCGGTAAACTCCCAGTCTCCTTTTTCATATTGTCAGCACTCACGAAAGGGACAAAGAGATTGTCAGAAAAGCACTTGCACTTGTCATAAATCAGCTGTTGTTTCCTGTTCGCAATACAGTCTTCATAGGTGTATCCATATTCCAGGTAGTTAGCACCGCCGCGAAAGTTTGTGTACCTGAAAAGTTTGAATGTGAGACATCAAATGGATCTAGAAGTGCAAATAAGAAAAATATTTGTTGTGTTAATGAAGCAAAGCTAAAAATATAGAATAAGGTCCATAGGTGCATTCAGGCATATTATAGTTCTTTTGTAGCCGTATTGTCTTGTATTGTATATGGGTCCCACATCAGTATGGTATTGCATCAGCATACTCCGTGGACTTTATAAGAGGCTCCGTGGTATTGATGGGCCAGGTAAAAAAGTGGTAATGCGGCCATCAGCCAAAAAGTAGACAAACCTATACTTGGTTCTCAGCGTCTAACCCGTGATCAAGTCACTTTCGGATGGAGTGGAAGGGGAACCCCCCACGTAAGCGAAAAATCACTGAGAAGCTACCAACTTCAAAAAAATTAGCTGGATATTATTCCTTTACGCAAGAAGTGTTAATGTTGAAAATCTACACACTACAACTATGGGGAACAATTATAAGGGACGATTAAATAATCTAGCTAGGCATTCAGTTTATGATGGTATTTAAAATGGGGAAGAACAATTTTGCGTTGCTGTGGATGCTATTGTCCAAGTCAAATCAAGTCAAGAATGTGTTTTAAATACTTTTGAATGGTGAATATTCATCTCTAACCTAAAGCCACAGAATGGTATAAATAGTGAAAAGGAATAGTACACGCGGACCAATATATAACCACAATCTTTAAAAGAGTTGGCAGAGCAAATATCGCTAGACTAATTCACTTCTCAGTTCTTGAACGACCGAATTTGTACCGTTCAAAAAGCATGACAGTAAAGGAACTAGTGATGCACCATAGGCGCTTGTGCGGTGTACGTGGTTTTGTATATCTCTCTGGTCGAGGAGGTTGATAAGCATTCGGACAAAGCGCTGTGGAGGGGATGGCTGACATCTGTGAGTATTTTGGATACAAACCTTTTACAGGAGTTCACATGGCTGGCTATAATTATGGGGAGAATTTCTGTCCTTGAATTTCCACTACACCGGGATATAGATTGTACTGATTTGGCAATTACTTTAAGGTCCTTACTCAGGAGACCAGGAAGAATAACTGGAGAGCAATAGGTCCAGTAGGGTAACACACATGCAGTGATAAAATGCTGGATCGAACATTGGGATACGGAAGAATACCTGAGAGAGTCTTCTAACCTTAGCGAATGTTTAGACCAAATGAAGAGACCACGTAAGCCCACTGATCAGCGTCACTCTCAGGTATTTTACTGAAGTGGAAGAGGTCAAACATTCGTCGTCAATGCAAAGTTGTGGACACTGTGTCAGGATTTGCTGGTAGTGATTTTCTTTGAACATCGTAAAAAGAACATCCTTGCATTTTGAGTTGTTTAACGATAGGCAACGGGATTTGGACCAAGGTGTGTGCTTGTCCAAGTGGGTTCGTAGCTTGGCTGATGACTCTATGCTTGGATGATGGACTCCAAGAATTACATTGTCTGCACACTTCAGCAGGATGGCTTCTTCAAGGACGGGGATTGAGGACACGCAAGTGGAAACTGAGAAGGGGGACAAAATGGCTCCCTGAAGAACACTAGAGTTCATGATGATCTAAGGAGAGATTTTCCCCATTAGACTGGTAATTTGGGCACGGCTGGTAAAATAATCTTTCAACAGTAGAACAACATGTTACCAGGAAACGAAGCCCCTAACCGCCATCTCACATGTTGTTGATTCGTTTCGTCTCCTAAGCTAAGGCTCAGGAGACTCGTCGTGTGTTGGGGTTAAAAATATACAGCACATGGCTAGCGACTAATCCAGGTCGAAATACGTAGTAAAATTGCATGTGATGTTAAGACCTCCGCAGGACGAAATTGATTTTGATACCGGGCAGTCAAAGCTTTAACGGATTCGTCTCGCCGAGACCATCTTATACTCACAAAATAACCTGTCATTTTCCAGTTCTCCAAGAGTCGAAACAAAGTTTGAACGGTCATCAACGCTCTCTGTTATACATGAACACAGGGGACATGTATACCGCTGAGCCTAATGGCCCACACACACTGTTCCCCTGCTACCACTTGGGCTAATCCACAAACGCTGCGTGTGGCAAACCTGGCGGAGCTGTACGCTATCGGGCGCGTCCCCAGACTGCGGATTGGAGAATGCCTTCTCAGTGAGGGTAACTGTGAATAAATCTCCTGTGTTTGTAAGCGGGATGAATAGGTAGTCGAGGAAAATCAGAAACAGCGGCGTAGAGTTTGGGAAGTTCCAGGAAGGTCACCTGGTTCTCCATTAGATACCACAAGATAGGAACGGCGCTGTGTTAAAGCAATGCGAACGGCTATATGGTCACTGACCAGTACCATCTGCAACAAGAAGTGGGCACCAAAAGAAGGGCGCAATAACAATCTTGATGACCATCGGCAACTGTGTAGACTTCCAACTAAACACTAAGAAGGCGCAAGCGCTACCTGGTTGTCAATGGTCATTGCATATGGCATCCAGATGATTCAGGAAAAGATTCATAATCCTTGCGCTGCGATAATCGGGGTTTTCTGACTTGTAACTACTCGAAAGCCGTGGTATGCATAAAGTGCTTACCGGCTGCCGACAGTCCGCGATATCCGTTAATGGCCTATCTGCCTTGCGGGTCAGGTGTTTAAACCCCAAGGCTCCAGCTGGGGTCTCCTAAGTAAACCCTCTTGGCATGGGCAGCCGGAAAGTGTTATACTCACACAACAGATATGGATAAATGTACCTACTTCTCCTGCTTTCTGTCTTCGTTTCCTTCAGTAGTGATGCTAAAAGTTGGCTCCGCTAAACCATCATTACCTCATCAGAAACTGCTTGTTCTGTCCCACGCTTGTCCAATTACAGTATTCTCGGTAACCGCCTCTCCATCTCGAGCTCCAAACAGTTCTAACCATGTCAGTGAGCAGTTCGCGACAACCAGTGTTCCATCCAATCGTTAAGACAGAAGGTTTCTAGCTCGTTTCCTCATTTCAAGGCAAGGAACTCCAACGTTCCAGTGCTCATGTAGATAGGACCACAAGTAGCTCTTGCTCACACCGTGATAGTGGCCACAATTTAGATCATTTGTCTCTTTGAAACCTGTTTACAGAAATCCAGCACAACCCAACAACTGACATCACCTGCGTGATCCTACGACACGTTCACGTTGTATTTATCCGGAGGCAACGGTTGAAGCCACGAGTCAAGTCGGTGTGGGAACTGTGTTAAGTTCGTGCGCAGATGCAGCGGTACTTGATTAGATCCAAATCAACAACATACTCTGTGCAGTTCGGCTAGGAAACTTCGTATTATCATGCAGCTCGTTTATCGCGGCGGCGTATACTACCGCGTACATTAGTCCGAACTCAGCTAATAAAACGTATGTTTCTAGAATGTACGACGGACTGTTCCTGTAACAAGGACAACACCGTTGTACAGTTATGGCCATGCGCATGCAAGCACGTGATATGTATTCAGTAGAGTCGGTGTTGCTAAGGTAAGTTGAAACACATGAGTTTGCTTGTACTGTCCTGTGTAACAGGTTTCTTACTGGTTATAATTGGATACCTTCGAAATCGCAACAGAACGGAAGAGTTCTGTCGAAACCGGTCAATTTCCGCTACGTCTGGAAAACCCCTTGTTACTGACGAACAAGAAGAACCTATAGAGCACCGAAATCACTCCAGGTTAATCCTCGGCAGAAGCGGTACACCCTATCTTCATTAGGGGGTTTGCGGGAACGTCAACAGATCTCGCAAAAATACGCAACTGTGATGCGAACTCCAATATGCGGACTGCACCACACGCAAATCATTCGCCCACCCACAAGGCAGCAGCCTGCAGCCAGTCCACAACCGAGTCAAAGTGGACAAGGTTCTTTAGTAAACCACACGCCTGATATGGTGATTCATTTCTCTCGCAAAAATAAACCGCTGTGCCAACTGTGTTCGGCTTTCGTGGATCGTACGAAAGCTCTTAAAGGTCCATCTTGACTTTTGCTACTCTCTCTGTGGGCTGGTTTGGACTCGCGTGTCACATGAACGTGCGTCACTCTGGTCGGCCGGCTTCGTAAATGCGTCTGGTCTCTCAAGCGTGTGTACACTGGTTGCCCGGTTCCGCGGACACTGTGTTAGCCAATCCTCGCCTTTCAGCGTCACAAGCAAGTTCGTGGCTAAGGTAACGCGACCAGGGGAGTACAAATCTATTACACCTGCTATGGCTGAAATGAGGTTTTGAAAATAACGCGTTTTTAGTCCATTAGGCGCCCAAAAATCTCACCCACCATGCCATTGATCAAACTTCTGCCCCCTCCCAACGGTAAGTCCCCAAACTTCATGAACGAGATGAATACTGTTTAAGAAAGCCAGTTCCATAGTGAACAAGATATCAGCACCAATACACGTTAGCTGAGGTGAGAAACACGCCTCCCCTAATGTGCCGCAATACAAAAAGATATGTCGTTCTTCGCCGAATCATAACTCGTGCTAACTCTATTGTTCTCTTGCATTAGATGCCGGTACAATGAGATAGACAAGTCTATCCATGCCCGGTGAATTCCGTAAGCTAAAATCTGATTCTTCTGGCCTCTGACAGTGTTCGCTTAGGGCAACCCAGCTAGCGGTTGTCTTAAAATTTATGCTTGCTGCACACTATTGGACCCAGAAATTGAAAGCGCACAGTGGATTAAGATGGTAGTTTCGATCTCTCTGATTCTGTCGGGAACCTCAACATGGAGGACGGGTAGTTAATTCTTCGAGGGAGTGAAATCATCGGGTGCGTAGCTCTTTGCTAAATCGTTGGGCACTTCATAAGTGCACAGCTTCACTCGTTACTGGTATGGCTCTGAATCTACATTACCACTCCGTAGAGGGTCGTTGAGGTGGCCAAACGTGCCCGTTAATGATGCACTGCTGTATCGATGTTACACGCCTGTCTCCATTCCAACAAACCCGACACCGTATGGATCTATCAGGGAAATTGCCCTGTGGCGTGTCGTAGGTTAACTGCAACTCAACCATTCGCGC